ATATATATAATTTTAAAAGCCGCGCTAAAAATCTAGGCGAAAAAAAAGGGGTAAAACACAATTACCCATATACGTATCTCTATTTAACCAATACTGTATATGTTTATTTTTTTTAAAAAAGGATATTTAATTAAAATTGAAAAAAGTGTGAAAATTATAAATACCATTAATATTGTTTGTCGGATTGAGTCACTCAATGATCTGTCATAAATATATTATTAAAAAATTCATTTGTGCATATATATGATCATCAAAAGTGTGCAATAAGGCCACTTATTATTGTTAGGTGTACCAAAAGACATACATTAATGCCCATATTGACATCCTAATGTCTATCGTAAATCGTGATCGTATACATTACTTATGAATTAACATAATTATGTATGTATACATACACATCTTTTACAAATTTTTATATAACCTCTGATGATAAGTGGATTTTTACAGAAGTGCTCTCTTAACCTCCCTGGCGGTCAGATTTTATTTTATTTTTTTTCCTTTTTTTTTGTTCTATAGCTTTCCGTTTTTATTTAACGTTATTTTTACTTTCGAAATTTTTGCCGGTTCCGCCCCCTTGCGACGCGGATGCTTGCAAGGGACGGAAACCGGAAGGCGGATGCCGGCATCGGCTGGAGGACACAGCACGGCTCGAGTGACAAGGTAAGTAACGCTACACTGTAATCCCGAGTGTGGCTCGGGGTTCCCGCTTATGGTACTGAAAATTGTCCCCGACACTCGGGATTGCCGCCAAGGAGGTTAATGCATGACTCAACATCAAAAAGACTTAATTTGCAGACAGAGACCAAGACCCATACTTAAGAAAAACTAATAGCTGCTAATAGTATATTCTAACTTGGGTAAGTGCAGAGGATATTTCCAGACTTTCATTTAACCCAATAGGGGACAAGCTATTCAGAGTGTAGATCAAAATAGTCTCCCGGGAACATATTTTTTTAATATCTAAGGCCTTTGTCTCCTTCCCAAGGGATAGATTCAATTCCACAAACCCTTAGTCCACTTACACAGGAATGATGGTTCAGTATAAAGTGTTTGGGGACCCGTCCTTGGAGTAGGCAGCGCTGGACACTATACCCAGAGCACAGCCAGGTAAGTCTATAACACCTTCTTGCAATCTGTGTGCTGCTGTAATGAAGGCTGATAGCAAGTAAAATGCAGGCACTTTAGTATTTACTTTGATTCAGAAATACATTTCATGATGTTTCAAAAAACATAATTGCATTAATTGTGTACTTTTATATCTGCCTAGAGTTCAGCATTAACCATTAAATATACTGTAAATGTTGTGCACAATTTGTAGGTGGAAAAGCCATGGCTGGCTGGGAAGGTGGCATTCGTGTCCCAGGGATTTTCAGGTGGCCTGGTGTCATTCCTCCTGACACAGAGATTGATAAACCCACAAGTCTGATGGATGCTTTTCCAACCGTGGTCCGTTTGGGTGGTGGAGAATTGCCTAATGACAGGTATGTTTTATGTCCTGAAAATATCACGCTTTATGAATTTTAATTTATTTGGTAAACTGCAATAATTTCTACGATATCTGATATAAAAAAAGCTGGCTTTACACATGAGTTAGCATGCAGTTAACACTTTGTGCACAGTTGTGTCAGACAACTTCAGGAAACTGATGTCAGAGGGCAGTAGAACATTTTTATAATTTCTCTATTTTCTTCTGAATTTAATTTTACTGCAAATAAGTTACTCCTAACTTTCATATATTTTACATTATATTAAAATGATTGATGGTTGGGACACATTTCCATTGCTTCATTGCAATTGTTCTCTTCTGCCTTGCACTTTGCTGCCTATGTGGACCTCACCTTACTAAACTGGATTTTCAAGGGGAGACTTGTGCTGAGGATCATCTGTTGGCCCATCTCTTTCCATTTAATCACCATTAGAACACTGCTAATTCCTGTGCTAGGCTCAATACCCTTTAGTTTGGTTATAATCAATGGTTTGTTGGTGACATGATCAAAATAAACAGTTTTCCTTGTGTAGAAAAAAACTTACGGGGTTATTCACAAAGCTGCGGAAGCCAAGTGAATAACCGAGCAGTAATGAAGTGAGCCGAACAACGTTCGGCTATTCACTACGGCCCAGTACGGCTGAAATCAGCCGTACATTGGCTGCCTTCCACTGCACTTCGGTCAGCCGAACATACTCTGTATGTTCAGCTGAACCGAAGTGCAGAATGACTTTGATTCAACATCTGGATCGGCTGAGCCGAAGCTCCAGCAACTCACTTGCTGCCGTTCGCCCCTATTCTCATTCAGTGAGTAAATAACCTCCATGGTACCGAGCAGAATAGCAAATCGATGAATAGTAAAAAGAAAATAATTTTAAATGTAAATAAATTGAAAAATTAAAAAATAGATTAAAAAAATAAATAATTGGGTGGAGCTAGTGACAGCTAGCTCCGCCCAATTGTTTCCTATTGGTCGTCACCTGCTAGAGTCTTCTAGCAGGTGCTGGCCTATGAATAACAATTGCTGGGGCTTCGGGTGTCACTTCGGGCACCCCAAACGTTAAAGGCTCTATCAACAACAACAAAAAGATACTCCTTAAAAAAAAAGCCGACTTTTTTTTTAAAGAAAAGCCTTGCATTAAAAAAGTATAACCTAAAAAAGGCAAACATACAATACAAAACCCCCCTAAAATAAATTAAAGCCCTAAAATAATACCCCCTGAAACAAAAGCCCACTGTTTGATCTCCGTTCAGAGCTGCCATGCCTGCCCAGACACAGCGAAGCTCAGGATCGGCAGTGGTGGAGGGGGGGGCGCACACCTGCACGCATAATACAAGCAATCTGGCATCTTCACAAAGGCCGGAACGCTTGTATGTAAACGGATATTGCTGGCCGTTTACATTTCAAGCAGATTTAAAAACACCAACCTGCATATAAGAAGTCGCCCTGCGGCCGTTTAATCATAACATGTGGTTTAAGGTACGCATTGTGCGCCTAGAATGTATAATTGTTTTTTCAAATGTAAATTCTTAATAAACAGAATTCAGAAAAATAAAAGCTACTCTTTCAATAACATATTCTCCATTTATATTAGAATTATTGATGGTCGGGACCTATTTCCATTGCTTTTGAGGCAAACAAACGATTCAGAACACGAGTTTCTATTTCATTACTGTGGAAATCATTTACATGCTGTGCGATGGTACCAAAAAGAAAGTAAGTGAACTGCTTTGCTTATAGCTAGAAATATTAACATTTCACCACACCCAAAGGTGGTGACAGATTGATTAACTTGTTGGCTTCTTATACTTTTCTGCAGTAGTAGTCTGCTAGGAGGTATGACCCTTAGGTGTTGATTTACTAAAGGCAAACAGGAAAATTGTATTTCATACTTACCACAATTTTCCTTTCCAGACAGCTCCATGTCAGCACATGAAATAGGTTGTTCCATTTGCACACAATATCCCCTGTTCTTGGTGAATGAGGTAAAGCTCTACCGACTCATCATTCAATCATGTGTAAACAAAAATATTTTTTTCCCTTGCACGTGATCGGGTATTTGTTGCAAAGTGAAATGTTGCCATTTTCACCAACCTCAGGGATCAATCAACCTCTTTGATTCAAGCTTGTCAATCAATCTCTTTGCTTTAACGAAGAACTCTGGGCAAAAGCATCCAAAACATTCCATTTCTAGCACCTGGACAAAAACGAGCACTTAACCCTTGCAGTGCGGGGGTAGCCCCACTGCAAGCGTTAAGAAAAATTCTGCCTAGAGTACTGCTTTCAGAAAAATGGGAACATAGTTGTGGAGAACATGCCAAGAACATTCAAAAAAAAAGTGGATAATTTAGGCTACCAGCATCTGCCCATAACCATAAGATACATTTTAGAAGGACTGGCTTTTTTATTATATCATAAACATAGCAGCAGAGTTATTTCTGACAGCTATTATTAGCCATTTCATAAAATAATAACATCACAACTAAGCAAGATTCATGTTCCACTGGACCTCCCCATAGCAAACTGAAATCTGATTATGTAATGAGTAACTATGGTTGCCCCATTTGATGTTATACATCACAGACACACTGTACATGAAGTATGAATACTTGTGTTTATATTTATATCAAGACATTGCTGTGACATTTGTATAGACACAAATATACTCGGTTACAAAGTTTACAGAAATGTCTTGATTTAATTTTTTTTTTTAAAGTATTCATGCACAGTCTATATCCAATATAAAAGAACTATGGGCAAAACTTCTATTAACCCTTGCAGTGGGGCTACCCCTGCACTGCAAGGGTTAAGTGCTCTTCTTTTTTTTGCCTAGGTTGCCCAAATTGATGAGCTGAATGCCTGCTTCTATAGTGCTCTGAAACCTCTCTCCTCCTAAGCTGCAGCATTGGAATGTTCATCAGGGCCCTCTTCCATTCAAAGTGTATAAAATGTCATTTCCAGGACATTAGAATGCTGCAGCAGAGGGGGGAGAGAGGCTGGAAGGACTGGTCTAAGAGCAAGATCTTACTTGACTCTGTGGTTCATAAGGTTGGTTGTTTTTTTTTGTAGCACCTAGACAAAAATGAGCAGTTAACCCTTGCAGTGAGGGGGTAGTGCCAATGAAAGGGTTAAGTTTTTTTTAACTTCAATATATTGTTTAGCTGTTACTTTTACTGCCTTCAGGGCTAGCACACACCATCTTCAGTGTGTTCCGGCCCGATTCTGGCCGGAACGCACTGGATAGCATTGTGGCTGGTCACTTTAAGGGGGCGGGTGGCGGTCCATTGAACTCAATGGCACCGTAGGCACTTCCTCCATTCGCAATGTGTTCCAACGCACAGGAATGCAAGGCACATCAATGCCTGCGGTCAGAAAAAAAAGCTGCAAGCACTATTTATTCTGACCGGACCAGAACACAGGCATTGCTGTGCAGCCAGTCACATTTTGGCTGGAGGGCGTGGCTGCAGTGCCATTCACTCCCGCCCCACAACAAAGTGAGCCAGCTGCAATGCTATACAGTGCATTCCAGCCAGAATGCACTGTGTCTGGTGTGAGCAGGCCCTTAATGCAGGAGTAGCTAAATCTCACAAAATCTTGCAAAATAATGGACACAAATTTCTCTTTTCACATTTTGGCTCTTCACTGTGTATCACATTCTCTTCTCTGAGAAGTGCAATTTGTTAATGAACCTGCTCCCCCTTGAGAACTTTATATGCTGTGAATTGCCTTGCTGTATAAAGGTGTTCAGATATCGCCTTATTAAATGGACACCTATATCTCATCTGATTCCTTATTTTATTTTCATCCCGTTTCCTTATTTTATTTTCATCCCTTTTCCGTTTTTTCCAGATTATGTGATCTCCCTATCCTCTTAATATTCACTTTCAGATATGCTTTAATTTCTTCCTTTGTGTTCCTGCACCCACTCCTATGATTTTGTACTGTCGATGCCCAGTGCTATCTAAATAGTGCCATTCTGGGAGCAGGGTTGTCATCTCAAGATTCACCACTAGATGTCCTCTTTGCCATACGTATTTGTTGTGGCACATTTTAATTTCCCCAAAAATATAAAAATATAAATAAATAATACATAATACTTTTAATTAACTCTCCTTTTTATAATCCATATTTTGTTTTTTACATATTTTATGTTCAGATATATACACTGTAGTTATTTAGTACCTGTTTGTTTTTGGTTTTTTTATACGTGTATAGACAAGTAGTAAACAATTTTACCCATGTATGTTTCTTTCACACTTTAGTCATATAGATGTTCACCATCAATGTATCACCATCAATATCTACATAACATAATCCTTTTCCATGTTTAATTTATATTTGTTGTATTTACACACGAGGGATAAATAACCACTTAATACGTATGAAATAAACACAAATGTGTGGTACAAAAAAAATTATTTAGTCCATTAGAACGTTGTCTTTTTTCTCATTTTGCAGCTATATACCCTTTTGTGCAGCCTAAAATGTTGCAATGCTTTGTTTGAGCCCAACTTAATATGTTGCAATCCCAAAAATGTTCTCAAATGTGTACAAATGGACAACAAAGCTCGTTGCCACAGGCCCTTCCAAAGTACACCACTTCTGTTGCTTCAATTTAATAAAGTGAATAAAGAGGATTGTCAAAGTATTTGATAGTGTGCATGTATTTACACCTTACAGTGACCACTATGACAGGAGCCCTTGGGGCGGTTTTGGTAACTAGTTGCTACTTCCCTTACCTGCCTCTTTTGGGGGTGACTATGTTCCAGTTGTTCTCTTAGATTTTCTCCTCCTATTTGTTACTCTTGGATATTTTGTTAGAACAGGTTGAGTATCCACATCTTGTAATAGCATTGGCCAGTACTTTTCACTTATCTGGAAGATCTTACTTGACTGTGCCAAGCAGCTGCATATCATCCGGATTGTGAAGCAAATTAGTAATTGAATTTAAAGTCAGGTTAACTGATGTATACTGGCACTGCTAAATATGGCCTGGCAACTGGGCATCCGTGACCACTGCACATGAAATCATTGTAGAGAAATATCCATAGAATAAATTTAAATATATTTTTTGTTTCTTTTTTCACTCACATTTATGCAAATTAATCACTTTTCCCTTGTACTGTTTTCATAACAATCCCACACTTCTAACATACACATGTGGTGAAATGATTGTTAAAATGTGGTTTCCATCTAAAGTTGATACAGTTCCCAACTAAATAGATACTGCAGCTACAATGAGTGTGGTTCCCACAGCTGTTTCTCCATCATAAATGGATTTTTGGGTGCTTTTAGTTTCTAATTAAAAACATACCACTATAAGTGAGATCGTGTTATTTTACAGTTCTGTTTGTTCCAACCACTTTATGATTTAATTACAGACAGAATATTACAGGGTCTTCAAAGTTCTTTGATTAAAAAAAGTAGTAGTCTCATGAGCAATGAAAAATGAAATGCTAGTCTACCGAATCATGTAGAAAGACATATATATTCTTTTTGACCACTGAATAATTGTGCATTGCATGCCTTCTTTATCTCTGCCATTATTGTCTGTCATCGCCTCCACCTGCCATGAGCCCCATTTGTGGGTGTTCCTTTTTTTAGGCTCAATTGCTTCCACCCTCTCCTTGCCTGTCTTTTAGTGTAGATGTGTATGTTATGCTTTGTGTCCACACTATGGCTGGTTATTACTGGCCGTTACAATTGCTTGTGCATGCCATAGCAATGTGATTGTAGTAGGCAAAGCAAATATTCCCCAGGTTGATGGATGGCCCTGCAAAACTGATTTATTGTGCAGATCAGCATCTTTGGTATGGTGCAAGAAACCTTGAACCACACTATAGTGCACAGCATGTCGTTAGAGTGGTGATCAGGAATAGTGTATGTGGCTCACCAGGATCCTAATGGCAGTAGTGTGAGTAAGGCAATCACAGGTGTCGGTAATAATGGGTTGTAGGTTCTGGGTGTCTCAAGTACTTACTGAGTCCTTACATTGGATACCGCTGGTCCAGTAATGGAAGAAGTCCATGTAATGAGCAGGATGAACAGGGTTCAACCATAATGTGACAAAATCCCAATACAGCAATAGTCCCCTGGTTGGTTGGCAGCAGGGGGCAGGTTTACCAAAGCTTCAGTGTGCGGCACTAGGAGTCCAGCCAGATCTACCTGTTTGTGAGCGTGCTGGAGAATTTTCTCTATTCATGGGGTGGTAATGATGCCAGTGTCAGTTCCTTCTTCAAGAACTTTAGCTTGTTCAGGATGGTTCCCTCCTCCACTTCCAAGAAGTGGAACAGTGCTGTATTGTGAGTTGGTTTACGTAGGTTAAAAGTGTACAGGCAGTCATTGTGACATGCCTACTCCCTCTGCATGTGTTGTCTCACGAAACCAAGGCTGTCAAAAACCGCGTATTTGACTCCTACAATGCAGCATGGTCAAACAGCAGGGGGGGGGGGG